AAAGACCTTTACTTAGTGATGTCTGCACTGAGCTAACAGGACATGAAGGACTTTTTAAGACAATACTGTTCCTTATTTTAAGACCTCAGGAAAAACCACCTTCCTGCTAAATAAGGAATTTCATTACTTGTTTGCCTCATTGTGTGTCCAGCTACATTATCCTTGACTTTTTACCTGGCTAGGTCTGTCTTTCTCCTACTGGCTTATACGATTTTCCTCAGTAGGCTAAAGAGCAGCCCAGCAGCAATCTCTAAAAAACCACACCTGTATGGAAAGTATCTGAACTGACTCTAAACCCATCTAATCAATCCTAATCACTCTTAACTGACATGCTTTCCAGAGTAGGTTCTCGCAGTTCTCTAACCTTTTAACTTATGTTTCTGTGCCTGGTTTTAATGTTAAAACTACTTTCATGGTTCTCTTATGCCATTAACAGGACACAAATCCATTAGGTCTCTGGCAAGACTTGTATTCCTTCTACCCATAACCTGCCAAAGCCAACTCTATTTAGGCAGTTTAGTCACTCTGTATCTGCAAAAGTCTTTGAATTCTGAGTATCTTCTTATTTTCTCCTACCTCCTAAGTACCCTACATACATTTCCCAGTCTCAGGGTGAATGATTTCTCATGTTACATTAAAATGAATGTTGTTCAGATGACCACATCTTTTCAAGTAGTCCAGACCTTGGTGTACCACCCTGTGTTTACACCTTCAATTTGTGGTGTTCACCAACACCACATAAGCAGTTGTAGAGGCTCTTGTAGACTGCTAAAAGACTGAAAAGCACTAGTGCAAGGTCTTTGGGACTGTGCTAGACTTCTGCTGGCTCAAATTTCCCTATGGATATTCCCATTTCTTATGGGTCTTCCTTCTGGGGAAGTTCAATACATCAATTTTAAATTATTTTAACGCTAGACTGGATTTTTATAATTAATGCTGGCTATATCTGTATCTGCTCTGAAAATCAAAATACCCGATGGTGAGGGTTGTGTTCCCACTACATAGGTTGTGTGTGTGGTTTGTTTAGGGTAGCTCAGGCCTGTTCTCATGGACTTTCCCACCTATGAGCTGTGGAGGGAGTTAGGCATTCACCCGTGGTGCAGCCTCTGATAATCCATCTGAAACTTCATGTTCAAGTTAAAGTGCAGTACGTGGAGACAATCTGCTTCAAACCCGTGCTCTGGGCTCTAACTCATTTAACAGCATCAAAGTGAGAATCTGCACTAGTGCTGGAGCGTAGATCAACACTTGTCAGACAGTCTGGGAGATTACTGTTGCCATTAATGAACTTAATCCGCATCTGGAGAAGGCACACAGGGGTGGGGAAGATTTTTATCTCTTTGTTAGTTAATGGGAGAAGCTTACAAAGCCAATGTTCAAAGCAGATACAGTTATAGATATGAAAAAAGAAAACATTCCCTTTTCACGTGCCTCCAGTTTGATCTACAAGACATCTAATAACATGATGGCAGAATACATTTTGATGTACGGGATAATTGGGCTTACTATGTTTAGTAGAGTGATCAAATTAATATCAGGATTGGCTTTTTATCTGGTGTAAGGAGGTGTAAGAAAGGCAATGCAAAACCCTTATTATCTGCTGTGTACCGAGGATACGCAGAGTACTCTGAGACAGTCCTGAAAACAGGGAATATTTCAGCTGATGGGATGCTATGCAATCACTTAATGAAAATACATGAATACCAAGAAAAGCATATTACTCTGCCCTGGGGGAAGGGGGCTGAGGGGGTTAAACACAAGTGTTATTAATGCTGTGGAGTTATTGAAAAAACACCACTACACCAGATGAAAGTATTTTGTCACTTAAGACATTCTAATACCAGAAAGCATCTCTGAAACCTGCTGAAAGGCAAATGTCAGTAAAAAGTAGCTGGTGATGCTTTTCAAATTGCTCACAACAGGAAAAAGACTAAGAAGCAATGTTGAACTGATAACTGAAACAGCGTTAGTAAAATTTTGAGTTTTCTTGTGTATCAGGTAACTTTTCAGAAGTACACTCTGAAGGAGTTTCTATTCCTTAGAAGATGATGAGTAGAAAAAAGTAAGACTATATCTTCAAGAGCTTAGCTCCCATACTAGCTTGATGGTCACATAACTGCTCCTTCCAGAAACTAAGAAACAATACAGCCTTTTTCTGGAACCTTTTCAGTTATGTAAAATCACATCTCAAAACTGTAGACTGAGTCACTAACAGCATTACAGACAAATAGAAAAATTCAGCTAAGTCCCTTTTTTCCCTCTCCCCTCCCACTTGCTTGATTATGCAAACATTTCAAGATCAAGTGTACGCACAGATTAGTTGTTGACTTCTGTTTCTGTGGCACTTGTACAGCTGGGAGCTGGACAAGCAGTGAGGTTGATGTACAAAAGAAGGCTAGAGCTGATGCAGCCAGCCTTCAGATATGTATCTAGAGTTCCCTTCTAATTCTCAGAACAACCACAAGTTGGGCTGCCACCAAACTGTCCCCAGAGATGCTCTAAGGCTGTGCTGCTGACTAGGTAAGGCAGGACAGGCAAATAAGGGAAACTGCTGTGCCCATAACAGTGCTCACACGGACCTATGCTGTATAACAGGTAAGTTGCATTCAGCTGTGCTGGCTAAATTGTGGTAGGTATAAAAGAAAGGCCAAGTGCCCTAACAGCCATGCTGCTTGTCTCTTTGTGTGAGTGCCAACTCTAAAGGTGCCTTAAGTGTAGTGAAAACAACCCCCAGCATCAGCTCTTCTTCCTGCTTGATTTTATGTTGTGGTCACAGCTGCATAGATAAGGATGTTATTTTTCTTCTCTGGCGTTGAGTCAAAACCCAGAAGTTTGTATTAGAAAAGTGGCTTGGAAAGTACTGCACTAACAGACATGCAAAGCCTCTGACTTCTGGGGAATAACCAGCTTTGAAGTAAAATATGCTCAGCAATAATCCATGCACACTTCATTAATTTCAGAACTGCAACAGCAAAGTACTACTTAGAAAAAGCTGTAAGACAGTAATGAAGGGCTTGGGGGTTATTTTTATTTTTAATCCCAAAAGCTCCTTATCTCCATTCTCCATGTTTTTTCATTCAATTTACAGTAGTCTAAATTAAAGCTCATCCAACAAAAAAGTGACACATTAAGTTTGACTAACCTCTTCACCCCCCTCTTGATGAGAATCCTTTCTTCCTCAAGGGAAGAAATGCAACAACTTTACAACGGCTACATTGCTTGTTTAAGATAACTTTTCTTTGCACTTTGTGTTTAATGGAATTTGGCTGATCTGGAGTATTTTAGCACTTTAAATAATTAAGTTGATATAGTGAGGGCAGGAGTTCTTGTCAAGTCTTAAGGAACACAAAAGGGTCTATAGGCACCAAGCTGCCAGAAAGGCAGTATTTCGTTATCTGTCAACATGCATGCATCTTTCTCTACCACACCTCTAGTCAAGTTTGAGAACCCCTCAACATGGGCTACTGCATGATATGAAACATCAGTTACTGCTCAAATTTGAGTCAAAGCTTAGACTCAAAACAAAGAGTAGTTGCAGTCTAACACTGCTTTTAAGTGCAGCTGTGAGTTGCTGCTGCATGGGGGACACTCGTGCCCCCTTTGCCTCCCTTCTGCTGGCCTGTGTAGCTGCAGTGTATGCCATGTCCAGAAAGCTGTGATGCATTGGAACAACCAACATTCAAAAATCCAGTTGATCCCTAAACCTGATACAAGAGGTACAGCACGATGTTCAGCTGGGCAGTGGAATAGGGCCATCTTGCTGTCACAGCCTGTTATTACTCCAGCCTGTGAGACTGGATTAAGGAGGAGGCTTTTTTGGTTGGTTGGTTGGTTGAACACTTCAGTTTATCAAAACCTGGCTCTAACAGAAGCAATCCAACCCGCTCTTATATCTCATGCTCTCTTCTTGCACTTTAAGAGTTCATGTGAATGAACAGAAAGTAATTGAGTCAAAATTAACTAGGCAGGGAAGCAGGAGGAACCAAAAAAGGAGGGATAGGGGAAACCTCGTCTGGTTTAGTGATCACAGTAGTCTTAAATTGGAATGTTTCAACTTTTAGAGAAACATGACAATCTCTTTCCTTTGCAGTGTCTGAACATTAAATGTGCTCAAGACAACCTGATCACAAGTTGTATCTGAATGACAAAGTAAATCTGACTGTAGTTTTCCAATCACGCAGATGAGTCACCACGAATGATTTGCCTTATGTTTGCCCTACCGCTTCACGTTTCCACTGGCTGTGGTCCTGTCAACCCACTCCACACAGCACAGGGCACCAGGGGCCTGGGCCTCTTTTAAACTGTATCTATTTTAAACAACAAGGGATGTTTTCTGCCACGGCCCGGTGGCCATGGGGCAGAAGCAATGGTGTGCTGTGCCTCCTGCACCTCAAACCTGCATGGAAGCTAGCATTTGAAAATGATAGTTAGGTGGGTGAAACCAACGTTGAAAGAGCAGGTCCTTATGGCAGCTTTAATATTTTGTGTGCATCAGGCTTTGTTTGTAGCTTGCTAGGTAAATTTGCCTCATGTCCCGCTTCTAGAAGTGGATGAGGTTTATTTGAAGTGCAGTTACCCTTAGCACAGCCCTGGTACTCGCCCTGCGAGATGGTGTATGTGGTTACTGCCCTCGGCCGTGCTCTCAGGGTCTCGGGCTCCTCGCTCAGCCCGCCCACGCCCCCCTGACGGCACCGCGCCCCTCGCCGAGATGCCACCGCTCAGTGGCCCTGGTTTGACCCCTGCTGTCGCTATAGGCGCCTGCCGTTCTCCGCAGCCGCTGCTGTACTCCCTCGGCCGCATCCCTGCTGGATCAAATCCACCCCCGCGCCCCCATTCCCGCCCCCGCGGGGCCCCGGCTGCCCCACAGCCCCTCCCGGCCCCCGTCCGCCATTTTGTGCAGCGTCAGGCCCGCTTGGGGGCTGCGTTGCGGGCGCGGAGGGGGCGGCGGGGCCCCGCCATGGCCGCGCCTCGGGCTCGGGTGCCCGTCCGTCCCCACTCACGGCAGCGGCGGTCGGCGGTCGGGCTCAGTCGTGGGCCGTGGGGGCCGCCATTGCTGCGATACCGGCGGCGGGCGGCAGAGGGCGATGCCAGGTGTCGCTGCGAATGCAGGGGAGGGTGTCATAGAGTTACAGAATATGCTGAGTTGGAAGAGACCCACAACGATCATCGAGTCCAACTTCTGGTCCCGCAGAGGACCATCCCCAAGACCATCATGTGTCTGAGATCGTTGGCCAGGCGCTTCTTGAACTCGGGCAGGCTTGGTGCTTGGGAAGTGCTCCCCACTTCCTTGGGGAGCCTGTTCCAGTGCTCAACCACCCTCTGGGTGGTTTTTCCTGAAGCTCCCCTGGCACAGCATTATGCCGTTCCCTTGTGTTCTGTCACTGGTCGCCAGAGAGATTAGTGTTTGCCCCTCCTCTTCCCCTCACGAGGAAGTTGTAGATTGGAGTTCTCCCCTTAGTCTTTTCCAGGCCAAACAGACTAAGTGACCTCAGCCGCTTCTTTATGGTTTCCACTACAGACCCTTCACTGTCCTCGTTGCCCTCCTTTCGATGCTCTCTAATAGTTTAATATCTTTCTTATATTGTGTTCTGTTGCATCATGTCTCAACCGGGGTTTTTTTATCGAGGGTCCCTCTCCTCGGCATCCTAGTTGGGGGTTTCCTCAGTCTGTGCCTTGCTGGAGCTGGCAGGTGTCCCACAGCCGTGGCTTCGGCTGCAGGGCTAAGCTGTGGGAAGCCTGCAAAGAGGGAGCTGCAGTCCCCCAGCTGGCTGCCACTGCATAGACCTCCCAGCAATCCAGGTCCCCCCAGCTCTGCCCACACCTGAACTTGCTGCCAGAGATCCGCTCTTTTATGGTGCTTTAATATTATTTTTTTCCAGGACAAGCCCTGATCCAAAGGACACCATAAAACAACTCTTGAGCAGTCAAATAAATTGAAACACTCAACAGAATTTCTGCAAGTGTCTGTCCAGCAATCCCCCCCAAAAACTCTGGCTCCAATCTGACCATCTAATTCCACACAGTAATATTAATCACTAATTTAATCACTGCTGTCTTTAGCTCATCTTTTTCATTCCAGATTTATCCCTCACCATTGTCCCGCATAAGCTGGTGTCCCTGTCAGAGTTTATTTAAGCGAGCTGTCCAGCGCTGTCCCTGAGCTTGGCACTTAGGCTGTAGCATTTGTAAAGTGTGTGTGTGAGTGCTGCTGGATTATGTGATCCTGAGCCTTGGCTTGTGGTTTTGATTCATCTGAAATTAAATGATGAGTGTACCAATAACATCAGAGTGTGTTCCGCTGCTGTTCCTTATCGCATTCTACCTGCTTTGATGTTTGTTGTGTGTGCTTCCTGGCTGAGGAATTGTGTAAGGCACTCTTCTCAGTGCTGTTGCCAAGCCAGTTTGTTTTGTTATCCAATATTCTGTTATTCCAGTTTATTTACACTTTTTGCCTTACCGTTGTGATTTAGTGGAATACTATCTGCTATTTTATTCTCCCGTATAAAACTGTTTCTTCCCATAGAGGACTTCTAGTGGTTTGAAGTCAACTCCTGTCATCAGGAGTTGATGATATGATTTTGCATTGCTTAGTTGTTACTGACAAAATAATTGACAATTGAGATGTTGCTACGTTGTAGCAGAAATTAATTAATGCTGCTTACTAGGACTTGTAAAACCCCTGGGGTTGTGGAAGGTGAGAGCTGGCAGAAACTTGGTATGGAAAGACAATCAGCAGAGCTAAAGGACATGCAGATATGACCAAAAAAGAGACAATGAGAAATACAGCACAAAAAAGGGAGCGGGTGGCCTCTTCCTACACTCCTAAGAAGCCCTGGCATTAAGAGACTGTTTTGTATGCACAGCTGCAGGTTTTTTAACCTCTCTTCCTCTCCTCCTGCCTTTCCACTACCGTCTCTTCTTTGTGGGAATTAGTGGCCTTTAGGTTCAGGGTGGTCTGACTCCTACATATCTAATTACCCTCTGAAAAATCTGTTTCATACATTTCAGACCCGAAGAAAGATTTTGTGCCAAAAGCTTGTCTACAGTTCCCAGCTACGCCTGTGTTGGCCTAACTACCACTGCAGGCCTTTTTTAGTGGTACTTTTGCAATGATGAAAGCCGTACAATAGCCATCCAATTTTGGTGAAGTTTTATTGGTATTGAAAGATACTCATTATTCATAGATACTCTTTCTGCTATTTCCACCTGGAAAGAGAAACAGATGGTGTAAGACACCGTTATACCAGTAGAGCTATGTCCATGCTGGGGGCTATTTGCTCTTGCTTCTTTCCAGGCTGGTGTCTCCCTGTGCCCACTGTCACCACCCTGGGGACCCAACTTCTCTTGCTATCCTGGCTACTCCTCTCACTGCCACAAATGAGTCCTCCAGAGCCCATATCTCATTCCACCTCTGGAAGAACCACTCCCCCCACCCTCCCAATCTTATCCAGGTCTAGAGCTCATTTAAATGTTGAGGTTTTTAACTAGCCACCTGAATAAGCAAACAAACTTATGGCAGAGGGAGCTCCAGGCTGTATACAGGGATCAAGCAGCAAGTAGTACATGACTGGTTTAAGCTAACCTAACTCTACTGTGTGGTCGAAAGAGTTGTGCCCTCCTGTTTGGCTATGTGTTGTGCCACTTCCATCTGGTTTGGGGATCTGATTCATTTGGAAAGTGGGTGGGTTTTTTGGATTTTTTTGGACAAGATTAATTAGGAGATTGGACGTGTCCCACATCCCATAGAACACGTGGCTGTACAAATGGGAGCATGGGTATTGAATCCAAGGGCTCTGAGTTACATCTGCCTCTAATCACTCCCATATGCGTTCTTTCCCATGTTCTGCTATGCGTTAAGGTTTCCTATCATGTGCTAATTGATTCATTACTTTATTGTTATGTGCTAATCATTAACTGTCCCATATGTTAAACTTATGAGGCACATCTTTAAATTCTGTATCTCCTGGTCTGCCAATCCCCCTTTGTGTAATACCACATATATGTTGGAGACCTTCAGACTTTAAACTTCCTGCTTGTTAGTTTTGTGTATAATGCTTGAGTTACTCTCTGGAGCTCCTCCTTATTTCAGTTGTGTAATGACTGTAATTAAAGCTGCTGTGGCACAGATCTGTGCTTTAGCCTATGGTAATACAACATGTTTGAGAGGGGACGGAAAGAGTTTTGAAACATCCTGTGACGTATTTGAAACAACCAGCATAGTAATGTTAGCATAAACTTTGTGTGCAGGTCAAGTTATGTTAGACTATGGAAGTTTTGCAAGAGTTAAAACTTCACAACTGGCTCAGAAAATGTGACTTTGGAAGTTTTCTCAAGGAAATGTAGCTGAGAGGAGGCCAAGGGAGTTCCTGAAGTCTTTCTAATAAGGAAGTTAACTGGTCAGAAATGAGTGAGAAAAGATGGAAAGAAAGGTGTGTCGCTCTCAAAATCCCAATCTGCAGAATTTCAGTATAAAGGAAAAATGACAGGTTTCTTCTGGTATGACTACTTACACAGCACACCCCAAGATTTACCAGAAGAAGGTTGAATTAAACACACTTGCATGCAAAACAAAAAAGGTACTGAGTTCTCCAGCGTTATTTCTATTTCATATTTGAGATGAATGAGTACAGAACTTGATCCTTTGTACATGTAGTCCCAATGTGACACAGTTCTAGTTTCCACGTGGAATTCAGACCATCCTCATTTCATACACTGCTCATTGCAGTAACTGCTGGTCTGGGGGTAAATAACTGCACCCTCACAGGCTTTTATCTTCCAAGCCCTCAAAGTAGCAGCTAAAAGTCCTGTTGCACGTAGATAAGAAATAGCATGTAAAGAGGCTAGGAGTAAGATATGGGTAAAAAGTGGCTTTCCTAGGAAAAGCTAGTGCTTAAGCACAGTATGTTGTGGGCCGGGAAGCAATCCCTGTAGAAAGGGAGGTAAACAGTCTTTAATAAGAGCTTGCCTAACACCTGGCCTGGGCTGTCCCAGCATCTGCTCTCTGTATACCTGCTGCTTGGGCAAAGCCAGGCAGAGAGTGATCTCTTTCCCATTCTCAATTTCCCAATGTTGAAACTCCCAATTTCCTGTGCACAGATTCATCCTGCAATGTAAACCCTAGGGGATGCAGCTGGGCAGACACAAGCATTGCTGACGTGCAAGTGTCTGCAGGCCATTGCAATGAGTGGGCTCTGGGTAGGGCCTGGCTGGGGTTATGGTCCCACATGTGGGCTCGTTACCTGGTGTGCAATGTCAAATCACACACCGAGGCGATGTATGTCTATTTCTTTATTCTAGTTTGTGCAAAGTAGGGAGCTAGGTGGTAACCCACAAAAGGCTAGCTTCCCCATCATCAAAACTTTACATTACTTATATGTTTTAGCAAACAAAAGTATCAGTATTCATTGGCTACAAGTTACATAGTGCTCTCATTAAGTAGTATTCTATATTCTATTGGTTCAGTGATTCATTTCTTGTGCTAATTAGTGCTCATGCTCAGTCTTCTCCTTCTTTTGAGTCGGTGGTTTCTAGAATCGGTGTGCTGTGAGTCAGTGGTTGCGATCTCCCCCTGCCAAAATCCCTTTTACCCAGTTAGCACTTTAGATTGTTGGCACTGTTTGTTCCTCCTTCGGGCCCTGTCTTGGGTGTTCTGCCAAGCATCCTTGTGGTCTGTTAGTTCAGCATTCCATAGTGACTGATTTCACTAGATATGTAATCCTAAGTTCCTCTTTTTCCCTGTTCTTTCTCTGTGGATGCATTTACTGAGGCATATTAAGCATATAAAACACCTTTTATTGATATGTAGTTTATCTATTTGGAAACCGTACGTCAGGGTGACCGCTGCACGGGCTTAACTGGGGGTCTCGCACAGGTCTCCAGGGAGGTGTCACAGAATGACACTTTGCCCCTTGGTAGCCACGAGCAGCTCCTAAGCGAGAGCTCCCTGCACCAGCTGCCTCTGTCTACAGCCCGCCCCTATGGAGCCTTATTGGATTCCTGGCCGAGGGGGTGTTGCTGCCGCGACAGCGATAGGGCGTGCGGTCGGTGATATGCCGGAGCTGCGGAGCGTTGTATAAGAGGGAGCTGCAGGGAGCAGTGGAGAATTAAACAGG